GGTTGCAGGAGTGTTTTTTCGATCAGGTAACACTGGTGATAGCTTAACACGAGCCGGTTGTGGGAACATTGGACAACATTTTCTCTCGGGACGTTAGACGATATTATTTTCTAGTGATTCCATTCCAGCCACACGGTGGGCTGTCAATAAATATTTGTACTGAATAAATGAATACTGTGAAGCGATTATCCAATCTTCCATCTAACAAATCACACTGGACTCACCCTCTACAGTTTTACAAATGTGACTCAGGACCAAGAGGCCATTTGGGGTCCACGCCTGAACTGAGGATCAGGACACACACTGGTCCCCGACCCGCCCCCAGTTCCTGCGGACATCGATCGGCAAAGAAGCTGCCTTCTCCGTCCTCATCACCACACTGGGGACACAAGAGACTCGAAGAAGCTCAACCTCTAAGGGCAGTCAGGGTCAAAATTCTGTGATTCATGTAAAAACCGGAAAGGGGCCGGTGATAGCCCAGCTCCCAGCCTGAAGGTTCAAGAGTGGGCTTGAGTCATTTCGTAACATCGTGACATTTAAAAGAAACCTCATTCCGATGTGTCATGGTGACTCTATTCAAGTCCCAGATAAGCATTCGGAAGTGTGGCTCCAGGTTTCCACAAGGCAGTGAGTGTCTGTGACTAATGACAGGCTGCAAATTCAAGGGCTGATCTTTCTCACCTGGGTGATCCTATCACCACGGCCTGTGATCTGCTGGCGCTGGCGGCTCCAGTTCTTCACAAGCAAGGACGTCACCTGCTTTCTACAAAGCCTCGAAGGAAGATAGTTTAATTTTGCGAACGGGTTTTTTGAATCTCAAATAATGCACGAACCCGAGGGTGTTGATGGCATTCTGCTGACGGTGACCATCGGGCGACAGACGTGGGATTGGGGCTGGAGAGGGGCTTTTAGGCTCAACACCGATCTGAAACAGAGTAACCTTCGACCCGCCTGCGCAGAAAGGGGGACCTCATCCTTTAACGTGAAGGGGACCAGATGACCCCTTCCAACCTAACTCCCGCTGCTTGGCAAATAGAAACCACAGATGCAAAGCGAGTGGAGACAGATTTACAACCCCGAGTGTGCTGGTCGAGTACCACAGAGGTCAAGGGTGAACGTGGGGCGGGGGCAGGGAGGGATTGGGGTAGAAAAAGCTCTGAATAAACGCCCCAGTATGGCAGGTAGCACGTTGCCAGGGAAGAACTAAGGAGACTGCGTATTCACAGCCTCCAAATTCAGCCGTCGGCCCAACCACATGGGACCTAACGTGTCCTCAAAACACAAGATCGCAGCCCGGGCGAGGCAGCCCGTCGGCCGGCGGACGAGCTGCGTTCCGTCCTCCCATACTGCAGTTTCTGCACTAAATCAGTCAAGGGCACTGAATGTGTCTTGTCATCAAGAATCGGGATCAAGATCGGAGGTCAGGCAGCTCCTTAAAACTGGGCGCAGGGCTCAGGGGCTGTCTTCCCCACCGGCAGACCGGCCGGCACCCGTCCTTTCCACAGAAATGTGTGCCCAGCTTAAAAGGAACCCAAATAAACTACGTTGCTTGGGTCTGAGCATCATTATTCTGTTTTTAGCAAACTCCAAGCCACCCCCTCTGCAGGTCAGGTGTCCCGTTGACAGAGAAGCTAGAAGGGAAGTCACCGCCGCCGGCATCACCCTCGTGGGAAGCGCGAGGCTGCAGGGGCCGAGCGGGTCTGTCTCCCCCGCCACCCAGCTCGTCCGTCTAAAAACACGAGATGTTTCTACACGTGGTTTTGCCCGCTCCGGCAAACCTATTTTATTTATTTTTCGTACCGAGCACGCTTCGGTGGCTTGGGGGGCCACGGGGACGGAGCCTCTTCTAGAACGGACTTCACCCATGACTCCCGTTTCTTTCGGAACCGAGAGCTTTTGTCCAGTCACAGCCTTGAGGAGCCAGCCACAGACGGGGCCGGGAAGGACACGCGCAGAGGCACAGGGACAAAGTGCGGCCTTCACAGAAACGCGGCCTTCACCCCCAGCCCGTGCCTTCCCACTCTGGGGGCTGTTTTGTGTAGGACCCTGTGGAGACTGTCCAGGGAATCTAGACCTTGGAGCAAGGAGAGTCCGCCGGGCCTGGCTTTGGCACAGGGGCCCTGAGCGGCAGGTCCAGGCTTCGACTGGACGAGACGCCACTATGCAGTGCCCTGGAGGCTTCTCTGTGGAGGAAGGGCAGAGGCCAGCGCCTTTCCAGGTCACGAGTTCCTATAGTGCGAGCTCCCTCCTTCCTTCCCCCGGACCCTAGAGGTAGAACCCCCGGGGTATGGTCTATGCCCAGGGTGCACAGAGAGTTTGAAACGGAAAAAAAACAAAGGGAAGCTTTTATGACGGAGACTATATTGAGAAAATTTGTTATCCAATAAAAAATATGCAAGCTGAATTTTATAACCTTTTATTTTAATCGTATTGCCTACAATAAGATTCTACCTTTATGAAAATACAAATTATACAACCAACCATCTCTTTCTAAAGTCTTTTTAAACTCCCCATTTGTTAATGTATGTAATGTTCACATCTCATCAATGATTCTCAGGTTCTCAGCAAACACCGGTCCTGGGGGAGACACGGCTCTGCCTTTAATGGGGGGATTAGAGAATGTGCCTGTAACTAGAATATTATAATCCTGATGGTGGGTGTTTGTGGTGAGCCGAGCTCTTTTCCCGAGAATTAACTCATTTAATCCTACTAATCACCTCATTTAAGGCTCCTGTTTTAGATCCATTTTGCCAGTGAGGAAATTGCAGCCCTGAACGATGAAACGGCTTTCTGGAGCTCTCTGCCCATCAGGGCCGGGCGCAGGTCCAAGCGGCACGCAGACCTCGGTTCCAATCCCGTCTCCGTGTCTGAGACCCTGGGAGAGGCGCCACCTGCACCCCAGCCCTGATTCCATGTGCGGAACAGGGAAAAGTGTGGTTTCTATGTCATAGAGCTGTTGAGGGGGTTAAGCGAGCTGACGCGGGGCACACACAGCCAGACTCCATGAAGGCTACCTGTCACGAGTGACACTCTGCTGTAAGCAATAAATGCCATCTGGATTGATTAAAAAGGCTTCATGGAAAACAGAGCATGGAGGCCTGGCCCTCAAAAAAAACCAAAAAACAAAAAACAAAAAAAAAAACGGATTTCTTCTTTTTGAACGCCTTAATTGTTTCTCTAAATGAAAACCTCACATGCGAGGCGGGAGAGAGCTGTAAGAGCAGGTGTCTCGTTTTCTCAGGAGAGGTCAGCGGATGAGGCCGTGATCTGACTTTTGAA